GTATATTTTACCAACTGAGCTATTTTCCCAGAACCTGAACTAAATCATTTGTGCAAAAATCATTCCAGCATCTATACTGGTGACCAGGTGAGAATTTAGGACATTGAAGACAAGCTATATGTTTTATAACTAGTCTATAAAATACTATTTAGCCAGTGGTGCTTCTCAAAAAACTAGGATACTCTCCTTGAGACTGAAAATCTTATGCAAGATTTCAGCATTCTGTACCAACCTAAGCATTGTGTAAAGGGAAAACAGGTACCATAACACACATCTATGATTGGTTTCTTCCCCCCTGGGTATCTCAGGCTGTCCACAGACTCAGGACCCTACTGCCCCTGCCTCATATGTAGGCCACCACTTGGGAAATACGCACATTTTAGTTTACCCAACATGTGTCAAGTAATTAATTAAGTAAATATGTATATTTCACCATTAAATGGCCCTCTAAAAAAACAAAACACTTAAAGCAGGAAGTTTCTTTTCTAATTTTTTGTGGGTAAAGGAAATCTGGGAGCATACATACATGTTATATATTGTACCTCATAGATGGAAGAACTTAGCTTTGAGATAAGATCTGTTGGCCTTTGCGGTGCCCTATGCCTTGCACTGAAGCTACCCAGAGGGCAAACAAAATCAACCCCCCATCTTTAATTACTCCAAATGCACAGCACCCTGATTTGGTTCCTAAAGCAACAGCTTCACACTAAATAGAAGTCCTTATTTGACTCTGATGTGCTCAGGGAAAGAAAACAAAAACAAAACTGAACAAGTGTCACCTCTGCAAAGACAAGGAGGGAGAGTTAGGAAGTGTTCTACTCGTCATCTTTGAAGGCATTTTGACAGTGTAGTTTCCAGAAGTTTCAGAACAAACATAACCCTCTGGAGTCCCTCAACTACCTTTGCCTGAGATAAAACTCTTTATTTTTCAGAACTGAGGAAACTGGACCTTAGAGAGTCACACAGACTGAGGGTAGTAAAGTAAGGCTGGAACCCAAGTCCCCTGTAACTTGCACCCTTCTCTCCAGACTTCAGTTCAACTGGGTTTACCAACTTCGACTATGCTCTGTGATTCAACATTTCATGACTCAGGCTTTGACTTTCAAATAAAC